TAGCAATAATTGAGTGTTTAAAGAAATAAGACACTGAGCTACAAAGTGTAAAGGAATTCAAGAATCTCACAGATCATAAGAATCTAGAATACTTCATGACTACACACAGACTAAATGAAAGACAGCTACATTGAATGGATATTCTCTATTGATTCAACTTCAGAATTGATTACCAGCCAGGGAAGTTGAATGCTAAACCAGACACTATATCACAAAGAGAGCAGAACATGCCACAGAGCACTGATGATAAGAGAATCAAGCAGAGACAAGCTCAACTACTTAAGTTTAACATACTGACACCTGGAATGGAATCAATAGTGACTGCTGTCAGTGTGGAATCTGAGATGTCTCTTCAAGCTCAGTGAAATGAGACTCACAAAAATGATAAGATTTTGCAGCATCTGAAGCAAATTCTTTATGAGAGAAGATTCAGATTTTCTTCTGAACTTGACATTAAGATCTCTGTCTCTGAGAGCTCTTTAAATGAGAACAGGGAGCTTCTCTTTCAAGATTATAAGTGAGTGCCAGACTTTGAATCTCTTCAAACCAGGTTAGTATATGAGACTCATGACTCACCTCTTACCAGTCATCCCAAGTGAGAGCAAATGACAGGAGTTCTAAGACATGAGTTCTACTGGCCAGGCTATGCTGCTGATGTGAGAAGAATGATCAGAAACTGCCATCTTTGCAGATCAAACATCACATGAAGAGATCAACATCAGAGACTGCTTAAGCCTCTTTTCATTCCTGAACACATATGGCAGGAGCTTTTCATGAACTTTATCATGAACTTACCAAACTCTAAAAGTTACATGAACATCATGATTATAACAGACAGACTGACCAAGAGAGTTATATTAAAAGCAGTTAAGAAAACTGATGTGAAGACAGTGACTAGAGTGTTCTTTCACAATATCATCTCTCAACATGACATCTCTAAGGCAGTAGTGTCAGATCAAGGATTAGCTTTCACAAGCATGTTTTGAACTTAAATGTATGAGAAATTAGACATTAAGAGATGACTCTTCACAGTCTATCACTCAGAAACTGACAGAGCTACAGAGCAAATGAATCAGACTCTGAAAATCTACCTACACAAGTATATTAGCTTTCAACAGAATGACTGGTGTGAATGACTCCTTCTAGCAGAGCTGGTCATCAATAATAGAGATGCTGCCTCAACAGATGTGAGCTCATTCTTTTTAATACATTTTTTTCACATCTTCTTCATTGATATAGTCAATGCACTCTCTGTTGAAACACTATGTAATCTCATTGAGTTTGCAGATGATTATATGAGGAAAGCTCATGAAGTGTTGAAGTGAGCTCAAGTAAAAATGATGAATGCTCAGCAATCTCAAGAGAAATACATGAATAGATGAATAGACCTGGCTTCAAGCTTTCAACCTAGAGATAAGATCTGGTTGAGCTTAGAGAACATGAGAACTAATCATCTGTGCAAGAAGCTGGATGTGAAATACAATCAATATACTGTGCTAGAAAAGGTAGAATCTCATGCTTACTGACTGAATATCTCACTCAGCATTCACAATGTCTTTAATATAAAGCTTCTACATGCTATGATGATGAATTTCCTGCCTAGTCAGAGGCAAACTGACTGACAGTCACTCACTATAGAGATCTCAAAAGGATCTGAGTTTGAGATTGAGAAAATTCAGAATGAATGAATCTACTGAAGAAAAAAGTAATACTTCATTAAATGAGTAGATTGAGCTGAGTCTATATGGAATGACACAAGTCTCCTACAAGAAGTGAAGGCCTTGAACACTTGAGAGGCCTCTCAGCAGGCAAAATTAGGTGTAAAGAGGACTTTAAATAGTTGTAAAGGCCTGCAACAAAGAGGGAGAAGAGAAGTATTATAAAAGGTTGAACCCCTAGATTTGCTCTGACTGGCTGACTCAGCCTAGTCATTGTTTGCACATGCGCACATGATTATGCTATATGAGCTTGCTTAAGCTTGAGTTCTCATCTCATTCTTTTCTTCCCTTTCTCAAGCAATTCGTCCTTGTTATATAGAAGGACTAGCCTCTAGTTCTTAGAGCTTAACCCTTTACATTTCCAGTATTGACCTGCAAATCACAGTGAATATAGCTTTAATGCTCTAATAAATTAGCAGATATGAGATTGGCAGATAAGTCTGGCATCAAATAGATGTGGTCAAATTCAATTAATCTTTCTCTGATTAAGATGTAGATGACTTCAATTCCTTGAACTTTCAAAGTAGTCTTATTGACCACTTGAATCATAGAGCCACTAATCTCTGTTATTTGAGAAAATCATGATTGATCACATGCAATATGACATCTAGCCCCACTATCCCATATAATGAGTGAATTGATAATTGATTTGATAGAGTACATAGACACCTCAATGACCTGCACTAGATTCATCATTTGAAATGTCTCAGAGCTGTTATTTGCAGTTGATGAGGTCTTTTTGCCCTCACTACTCTTTTTATTATTATATTTCTCTATTCTCATTGTGTTGGTGATTCTTCATTCTTCAGTAGCACTATCTGAATTGGCTGCTCAGCAGAGCCTTCCATGATGATGCTCACATTCCAAGCAGATTGAGAGGTCAGAATTTGAACATTCACTCATTCAATAGTCTCTGTGTTCTCTGGATCAGCCCTTACAGGTCAAATTATTTTGGACATTGCTGCTATTATTGGAACTCACAGCTGTATTTTCAGCCTGAGCCACATTAACTGAAGAATTAGTCATCTAGACAGCCTTTTTGATCTCTTTGAAGGAGTTCAATTGAGAGTGTATTTTCTCTATGATCAAATGAACATCCAACATGACAGACTTTGATTTAGATTCTTGTACCTTCTCAATTTTCTTTTGCACATAGTTTCACCATATATTGAGAAGTGCAGAATAAAACATGTGGAATATCATGTCATTTAAGAGTAAAATATCAAGTATTTTCAATTTCATAATAATGTCATTGAACTTATCAAAAAATGTATGTATGTCAGTGACTTGGATACCACTCATTGATGTAAACACCAGGACTACTTCCCTGTAGAGCTGTGTTCTTAGAATGGAGAACTCCTTCTCAATCACATATCAAAGAGAATAAGTGATTCTGCTCTCATCATACTTATTAAAACAGGGCCTAATGCTGGTTGCCAACATGTTTAAAATGAATGTGTAAAGCCAGCAATTTTTGACCTCTCAAAAAAGAGCTCATTCAGAGTCCTCATCAGGGATTTTGACTTACTTGTACTTCAATATAATCTAGCATTGAGTGTCAATTAGCTTGGCCTTCATATTTACATGCCAGGAGAGGTAATTCAAAGATCTGACCAGAGCATTCAGCTTGATGACATACTTAGTATCCTATTTGAACTGGCTGATTGTCTTGCTGACACAGCTATTTGAGTCATAGAGATTATATTGCATTCAGGACCTCAAGTTCAGATTCCATGCTGATGATTGATCTGCCAGTGAATTTGTAGACATCACAGCCCTGTCATTCTGAGTGTGAAGCCCCTTCAATTGAAGTTGAAGCTGCAATTCTTTGTGCTTCTATTTTTGAAATTCTAAATCAATCTTTTGACATTCAAGATTCAATCTCCTTAGTTGCAATTCTTCAGAGTTGATTGTCAGTGGTGAGTTAGAGATCACTGTAGGTGTCTCCATCCCATCTTCTGAAGAAGTTGAATCAGCATATTTGACACAATATAAGCAGACCAGCCTCACTGTGGTAGAGGCTGTAATCAGCCCAGCTTGCTGATCAGATGTTTTGAGGGGTCCAATATTGAAACTCTTGAACACCCCTAGGGGGGTCAGTGAGCTCAGGGCCCCTGATCATTTTCAGATTGATCAGATTGACTGAATTGACTTGATCACAATCATGAGTGAGTCATCATACATTCTGTCATGTCATATTAATCTTTTTTATAATGGAGTAATCTTATTCAGTGAAATTCTTGCCTATAAGCTTGATTGAGCAGATTGACATGTTCTTGTGTGATCAGTCACTGAAAAATTAGTGAGTTGTAGATTTTTTTCACCTGCTAAGTGAACAGATTGAACACAGAAAAAAAAAAAAAATAATAATATAAGAGTATGTCAAATCAATCAATTGACATAAAATAAGACAATATTATATTGAATGAAGTGAGCAGTGATTAATATACACTATATTTGGCAAGAATTCTCTGAATTGGCAGTTATTTGCGCAAAACAGGTCTCATAACCTGTGAAGGATAGATTGCTTGATTGATTATGAAGCGATCACTAGCTACGCGGAAGTTATATACAGTGTGGATTACATAAGAAGGCGGATAGGCCTGACACTTTATAATTCGTAAGTTCTGCTATGCATTTAATTACAAACTGTCATTCATCATAAGCAGAGAGACTGCATAAGATTTATCTTGATTCAATAATTACTCACTGCTGAAGAGTAGGGCTGCACAACTAAGAGGATGAATTTAAAGGAGAAATAGAGGGGACATATTATCTAATGCTTTTCAGAATATTTAAGGGAATCATAAGTAAGGTGTTGGTAGAGTTGTGCATCAATGGTGCACAGACTTTATATATCACTCTTAAGCTGTTCACAAAAAAAGCAACTGGAATCCACGCCGGGCTCTCCGGACTCTAGAATGAAGTGCACCCTTTAGGTAAATTTTCCAACGGTCTCCTGTGGCATGACACCCACCAACAGGCGCACGTATAATTATTTGTCTACGTTTTCTTATCACTGCTCTGGTGGGCGTCTAGAGGTTGGAAAAGCGAGAACGGCTATAAAACCGGGGCCTCCCAGTTTTCGCGCCTAATTCTCATCAGAGCCGATTGTTTGTGGGGAAATGTAATTTCACCATCCTTGCCAAAGCCTACATCCTGGAGGTAGGAGATAAGTCTGCTCTCAAATGAAATTAACAAGGGAATTAACAAGGGAATCGGAGGAGGCACCATGACTGGTCACTGATAATGTCGGCTTGATCCAGAAAGGATAGATTCGACTTACTTTGTGTTGTCGACCCTTGGCTCCATCATTACAGTTTCCGTCCTACTATCGGCCAGCCAGCAGAAATGAACCAAGGATGAGAGCCAAACTGGCACCCGGTGCGGTCCTCTGAAGTTTTCCTCACCTACAAGACAGTGGATACCCCGATCATAGTTGCCAACCGGCCCAGGTACCAATCTTCCCAAGAGATCTTCCTTTACCCAGTATATTTCAAAATACCCAAACGGCTGGCCATCCCAGCAACCAAAAGCAGGGAAGGAATGTCGAGAGTTGAGTTGATCACGGAGAAAGTTTTCTTGAACGGATTGGGGCCCGGCAACACCCCAGGCTTTGCTCACTCGAGGATTATTCATCCATTTGGACAAGAGTTCGATATCAGAGGGGTAATCCTTTGGAGATGCATCACCAGAACTCGTGGTTGAAAGTGAGGCAACGCTCCTAGATTTTGAGTGGTAATATTTTAGGCTGTCTAAAACGGTTGGGAGCTTGGGAGGTAAGAGTGGAACCCGAAATGACAGTGTCTGGCCTAAACTAGGGATATAGCGGGTGTAAAACACTTCACCTTGTCGTGGAGGTTTCTGGCGGACAGGATGTCGGATTCCTTTTGTGAAGATAAATTCCGAAGGCGGCGGTGGAAAAAAGGTAGGTAAACAACTCCCGGAAGTAAATGGATCCCCGTGTCTAGTGGGGACACCGTAGTACATACTTTCTGTTGGACTGATCAGCCCCGAACCGCTGATGTTTCCGGCAATTTCCGTAGCAAATGGGCCAGAACTCGGGCGTGGGGTGATGGGAAACTCGACCGTATGTGGTACGGTCGTCTGGGGACACAACTTGAAGAGAAAAATGCGAGGATCAATTTGCCAAAAGGTACGATGGCTTATAAACATGGTCGACCATCCTGTGGCATCGTGTACATCAAAAGGCTGGCAGCCCACGAAGGATTCTTCGCTTCTAACCAAACCCATCCGTTCCAGCTTTTGCATTAGATGTTTTCCGGTGAAGATACCCTGCCGCTTGATATAAACGCGCCATTCCCCCTTTGGTTTTGCAGGGTCTGGGGTTGATTTGGACTCTTCGGTGGAGACAAACCGGCTTGGAGCAGGTTGGTGGAAATACCACCAAAGAGTCGCATAAAGCAACATGGCAATTTGACGAGTTGGCGAAGTGGCGGGCTTGAAATCGCTGGTAGAGGGAAGGGATATCGAGGAAATGAATAGGTAGTCGCCGTTCAGAGTGGGCTTTGTGAACGGGCCATGATGGTGCTTGTCCTCCGTTGGTGTCCCAGGTGGAGTGGACGATAACGACGCTTCCCCAGAATGGATTGCACCGGATCCAACGGAATGCGGGGGTGAGAGATGCTCTTGTTTAGGATTAGAGTCGCGTTTCTCTGTTCGAATGACAATAGTCCAGCCAGGAGGTAGGACGGAGGTGCCTATGGCCATTTCATTCAACTTGAAGGTGATACCTCCGAACACGGGGGTGATGGAGAGGGATAGGTCATTGGGAAGATGGACAACGGAGGGAGATGACATGTCAGAGGCTGGGGAAGCTGAACAAGCATCCAAGAATATCTCGATAAGACGAAGGTCAGCGTACTATATATACACATTCGGAATTCTCAGGGTTTCAAAACGCCCTCAAAAAGAACGAAAAGAGAAGAGAGGAGGGCGCAATGACAGCGATGCGAGTCACTGATGGACTTAGTGGTTATGCGAGCAGTATATCTAGTTAGAAACGTGAGCACAGCAGGTATTGAAGACAGAGGAGGAATAAAAGAGAGGAGTCTTGAAAGTCTTCTCGAGCCTGCGGGATAGCAGAAATGACATCAATTGAACAGCCAATCATTATGTCAGTTAGTGGATACCCGGCTATGCCCTAGTCACGTGCCTATCTGCCGTATTAAGTTTAGAAACGCTTTAACGGAGCTCGTGCATCGTTGACATTTCGCCAAACTATGTGACTAGTTACTTATTCTGAACAAATCACTTATAACTATTATTAATTAAGGGTGAAGAACTAGGTTAGCTTCTCAGGGGTCCCTTTTGCCCCCCTCAATCTCACACCGGCAGGAAAAAAGGCCCACTTTATTGGCTCAACTGTTATTAGTAAAAAGTCCTAGGTTTCAACCAGCCATTGGTTGCACTTGGGCCTAAGAGTCCTTATGATAAGCATGCCTATAATTCTAGGCATGATAATCACAACCATTCCAATTTGTATTTTTAGTGCCACCTCAGAGGAAGTCGACAGCGAAAGGAAACTGGTTTGCAGGACCATCATGGAAGCCGCTGCTGGAATTCGGCTCTCTAATCTTTTTTTAAGTAAACAAAGGTGGTTGCTCCCAAGGACAAATATTCTCAGGAAGTAAATACGTACAAGTATGTAAATACATAACGTAATCCACCACCCAACGCCCGTTTACACCCAACACCCGCCATTTCACCATCACTATGATGAAATATTTTCAACATTATTTCAACAACGCAATTAGATTTTAAGATGATATATTATAGGATGAAAATATATATAGAAAATTACATATAAAAATATATAGCTAATTCAGTAAATGTTTGTTTGGCTTAATAACTCATCTGGAATATGAAATCTTGAGTAGAGGCAGATTCAGCAAGCAAGCAGTCATTAAATCAGTAGAGATTGCAATATCATCATATCCCTCTGGCAGTGGATCCATGGGCACCCTGGCAGGGCTCTGAAAACATGATTTAGCCACTCTTTGTGAAATCAAGGGTTTACTTTCCTGATTAGAAAGGTGATTTTTAAATTCTTCAATCATCTTCTTATTCAATTATGATTGTAGCTGTATGACAGCTCATTCTTCCTTTTCTTTTTGCTCCTAAGTCTTTTTCTCATCTCTAAGCTTTTTGTCAATCTGCTGTTGAGCAGCTCTTGCAGTCTTATTCATTTCCTTTTGCTGTTTTGTGATCTGATGAGCTGTCTTCTACTTCATCCTCTGCTGAATGATATTTATCTCCTTCTATTCTTTAAGAATAATGTGTTGCAGCTTTACATTCTCCTTATGAGCTTGCACATTCTTTTTGACAATCTCTAAGGCTGTCAAATTCTCATGAATGCTTTGCACCTTTGCTGGTGAGAAGAACTATATCAATGATGAATTTAAAGAATCTAGCAACCTCATTGCCCTGTCATGCTTGTAATGTCTTTTCTTTTGATTAAAAGCTTTTTGAAGCTGCTGATTCTTTATTAAAAGAATCTCTTTATTAGAAGTAAGATTTTCCCCTGTACAGATCATCTAATTGAGATTATTAGATATTTGATACTGCTGTTGCTTGATTTGCTTCATCAATTTCCATAGATCAACAATAGAAGTAGATGTTTTTATTTGATAGTGTAAAGGGTTAAGCTCTAAGAACTAGAGGCTAGTCCTCCTATATAACAAGGATGAATTGCTTGAGAAAGGGAAGAAAAGAATGAGATGAGAACTCAAGCTTAAGCAAGCTTGCATAGCATGATCATGTGTGTATGTGCAAATGATGACTAGGCTGAGTCAGTCAGCCAGAGCAAATCTAAGAGTTCAACCTTTTATAATACCTCTCTTCTCCCTCTTTGTTGCAGGCCTTTACAACTATTTAAAGTCCTCTTTACATCTAATTTTGCCTGCTGAGAGGCCTCTCAAGTGTTCAAGGTCTTCACTTCTTGTAGAAGACTCACATCATTTCATGTTGACTCAGCCTAACCTACTCATTTAATGAGGTATTGCTTTTTCCTCTGGTAGATTCATTCACTTTGAATTTTCTCAATCTCAAACTCAGGTCCTTCTGAGGTCTCTATAATGAGTGACTGCCAGTCAGTTTGTCTCTGACTAGGTAGGAGATCTATCACCACAGCATGTAGAAGCTTTACATTAAAGATATTGTGAATGTTGAGTGGAATGTTCAGTTGATAAGCATAAAATTCTATCTTTTCTAGCACAGTATATTGATTGTATTTTGTGTCCAGCTTCTTGCATAGGCAATTAGTTCTCATGTTCTCTAAGCTCAACCAGATCTTATCTCCAAGTTGAAAGCTTGAAGCTGAGTCTTTTCATCTATTCACATATTTCTCTTGAGATTATTGAGCATCTGTCATTTTTACTTAAGCTCACTTCAACACTTCATGAGCCTTCCTCATATAATCATCTGCAAACTCAATAGAATTATGTGGCATTTCAATGAGAGGTGCATTGACTATATCAATAGAGAAGACATGGAAAAGATGTATTAAAAAGAATGAGCTCATGCTTATTGAGACAGTATCTCTATTATTGATGATCAGCTCTGCTAGAGAGAGTCATTCACATCAGTCATTCTGTTGAAAGCTAATGTACTTGCATAGATAGATTTTCAAGGTCTGATTCATTCACTCTGTAGCTCCATCAGTCTCTGAGTGATAAACTGTGAAGAGTTGTCTCTTAATGTTTAATTTCTCATACACTCAAGTTCAAAATATGCTTATGAAAGCTAATCTTTAATCTAACACTACCACCTTAAAGATGTCATGTCAAGGAATGATGTTGTGAAGGAACACTCTAGTCACTGTCTTCATATCAGTTTTCTTAACTACTTTTAATATAACCTCCTTGATCAGTCTGTCCATTATAATCATGATGTTCATGTATTCTTTAGAGCTTGATAAGTTCACAATAAAGTTCATGGAAAGCTCTTGCCACATGCATTCAAGAATAAGGAGAGGCTTAAGCAGTCCCTGATGTCAATCTCTTCATGTGGTGTTTGATCTGCAAAGATGACAGTTCCTGGTCATTCTTCTCACATCAGTGGCATAGCCTGGCCAGTAGAACTCATGTATTAGAACTCCTGTCATTTACTCTCACCCAGGATAGCCAGTAAGAGGTGAGTTATGAGCTTCATACACTAACCTGGTTTGAAGAGGTTTGAAGTCTGGCACTCACTTATGATCTCAAAAGAGAAGCTCCTCATTCTCATTTAAAGAGCACTCAGAGATGAAGGTCTTAATGCTGAGTTCAGAAGGAAATCTGAATCTTCTCTTATGAAGAATTTGCTCCAGATGCTGCAGAATCTTATCATTTTTGTAAGCCTCATTTCATTGAGCTTGAAGAGACATCTCAGGTTTCACACTGGTAGCAGCTACTATTAGTTCCATTCCAAGTGTCAGTACATTAAACTTAAGTAGTTGAGCTTATCTCTGCTTGATTCTCTCATCATCAGCACTCTGTGACATGTTCTGCTCTCTTCACAATAAAGTGTCTGGTCCAGCATTCAACTTCCCTAGCTGGTAATCAATTCTGAAGTTGAATCAATAGAGAATATCCATTCAACATAGCTGTCTTTCATTTAGTCTGCATATAGTCATGAAGTATTCTAGATTCTTATGATCTGTGAGAATCTTGAATTTCTTTACACTTTGTAGCTCAGTATTTTATTTCTTTAAATACTCAATTATTGCTAATAACTTCTTATCATGAATCTCATAGTTGCATTCTACAGGTGAATGCTTATGAGAGAAGAAGGCACATGAGTGTAGAATGCTCTGCTCATCATATTGTAGCAGCACTCCTCTTGAGATATAATCTGAGAAGTTCATTTTCAATATAGTCTCATAGTCAAGATCAAATTGAAGCAGGATTGAAGCAGAGATAAACATTGATTTTAGACACTTAAAAGCTTCCTCAGCCTTGCTTGTCCACAAAAAAGAAACATTCTTGTGTGTAAGAATCATCAGTGAGGTTACAATCTTTGAGAAATCCCTGATGAATTGTCTATAGAAATTGACAAAGTCTAAAAATCCTTGTACACCTTTAAGAGTAGTAGGTGTCACTCATTTCAAAACAGCTTTAATCTTCTCTGAATTTATTTGTATACCCTTGCCCACTTCAATGATGAATTCAAGATATTTTATGCTGTTCATCTTGAACTCACTCTTTCTGATGTCTGCCTGCAGGCCTGCTTCCTGTAGATATATAAGCATCTTTTGTACATGCTCACAATGCTCTCATAAGCTTCTTGAGGAAAATATCAAGATGTCATCTAAATAGACTGAGCAGAAGTCATCCAGATATCTATATAATGCCCAGTTGATATATTTTTGAAATGTGCTTGGAGCATTGACTAAATCAAAAGATGTAACCAGCCATTCAAATAGCTCATATCTGGTTCTAAAGACTGTCATTCACTTATCACCTTCTGTGATTCAAATCTTGTGAAAAGCTATAATAATGTCCAGCTTAGTGAATCATTTAGCCTATCTAATTCACTGTAGAGTCTCACTGATTAATGGTAAAGGATATCAATTCTTTCAGATGATTTTATTAATAGCTCAATAGTTTACACAGAATCTTAGCCCACTCTCAGACTTCTTCACAAATAGTATGAAAGTGGTTGCAAAGGAGTTGCTCACTCTAATAAAACTCTTATCTAGATAATCTGTAAAAGTCTTTCACAAAGTCAGTAGTTTCTCTCAAGACATATTATATAATGAGCCTCAAGAGAGTTGTTCTATGCTATCATTGACCTTTTTAATCAGTTCAATCCCATGATCTCTACCTGAGTCATGAAGTGGGGGTAGAGCGTCAGCAGCTTTCTTATCAAATATGTTTAAAAACTCATGATAATGTTCAAGTAGCTTTTCTCTAGGGTCAATCTTTGATTTCACTTCTAGAGCCTTTTGAATGTCAGTCAAACTGATGGTAAAGATCTCAATGTTTCACTTCTCTTGAGTGCTTATAAGTCTAGAGAAGCTTATGGCAGAGATGGGAATCACATCAGCTTTTGCATTTGAACTAGACTCTACCTCTATGCCACTCTCTTCAAATCTCATACTTCTTTGATAAAGGATCACAATCACCTTTTGCTGGGCTAGCCAGGGGTCACCTAGATACATATCATGACTATATAATCTATTTACCATGTAGAGAAAGGCCTGTTCAGTTACATGACCACCTATATCAATTCAAATGCCAGTCATTATGCTTGTAGAGAGTTCTATGAAGTCTTCAAAGTCAGTTATTTTAACAAGAGGAATTTCAATGCACAGGAGCTTATGCTTATTAATGTAGAATTGAGAAATAAGATCATAGATATTATATTCACTGTCTATCATTGCTTTAGTCAAAAAGGCATTATCTACTAGAGCATTGACAGTGAAGGGTTTGAATATCATCTTAGATTTAAATCTTCTTCATTGCTTTCTCATAAGCTTCTTATTTCACTTCTTTCAGTGTCTTTTGGTTGGAGCTACTCTTTTTCCTGAATCCTTACTCATATTCACATCATCATTGTCCAGTACTGGCTCAGGGATCACCTTAGCTATTATGAAGGTGGCAGGGCGTCTGGGAGGTTTGAACAGACAGCTCTTAATCATATGACCTCCAGCTTCACATCTCAGGCACAGGCCTTGCTCTCTTCATCAATTAACCTTTGTCTGATTTATCAATTTGATGTAGTGGACACTTGAGGTTACAGCATCAGAAGAGAGATTCATCATATCATCAGCAAAAGCTTGAGACCAGTTTCATCAGTCAAGAACAGCATGACAAAGTAGAGAGTGTGAATTAGATATTGTATGATCTGAAGAAGATCTGTCCTCACAACATTTAGATCACTGTCTTAAAGTCTTAAGCTCAGAGAGTTGATGATCAACTAATCTAAGCTTCTTGCAGTAATTCTCATAGAGAGATGATTCTCTTACACTCATCATGCCTTCCCTCAGCTCTATGCTTAGAGCAGATTTCAAATACCCCTTTTTAATATGATCATTTCATTTATGACCACCAGCTTCCAGCAGTAGCTGATTAAATTCAGATGGAAAGTCAAAGAGAGCTCTTCTACTCTGTCATAGATTATTGAGCTTTTGCATAGCCTTTTCCTGTTGTGCAGAATCACTAAAGAGCATGTGTGTCTGCTTCAGTAAGCTCTCTATTATGAAGTTGATCTTGTTCTTATTATTCTCAACTCAGGGGTAAACTCAAGCTGCTGCCATTTCTTTCAGTCTCAAGTACACATACCAAGCACATTCCTCATTATTATCTAAAGTTTTCCCATTGATCTTAAGTTTTGATTGAAGCTTTAGCTCTCACTGAGGGTAGTGCTTCAGATTAGAACCATCATACTTCTTGCAGTCTGATAGCTTGATCTTTGATCTTCTGACTGCAATGAGTGGTTGCAGATTCAATTGAGAGAGAATTGATATTGAGATGTTCAAAGCTTGTCATAGATTAGCTATTTCAGCTTGCTGAGCTGCTATTAAATCTCTGTTCTCATGCTGGACCTGTTTCTGCTGTCGGAGAAAGATCATTTATTGTTGTTCAAAGCTGCTAAGAGCATCTCTGCTCATTGCTTCATATTGATTCATTTGTGTATTTATTGTACAAGTCTGCTGCTTTATCTCATTCAGCTAGATATTTTCAATGTTGCTCATTCATTTGTTAGCATAATTGCTAACCCAGTCTATTCATATACCAGTGCTATCACTGAACTTTGTGATGCAGGATTTAAGACTTCCAATAGCCTATCATATGTCAGCATATTTGCTAAGCTTCATGATACAGAATTAAGGCTCCCAGTGGCCTATCAATGAAAGGAGTGAAGCAATTTGTAATGTAAAGGGTTAAGCTCTAAGAACTAGAGGCTAGTCCTCCTATATAACAAGGATGAATTACTTGAGAAAGGGAAGAAAAGAATGAGATGAGAACTCAAGCTTAAGCAAGCTCGCGTAGCATGATCACGTGCGCACATGCAAACAATGGCTAGGCTGAGTCAGCCAGCCAGAGCAAATCTAGAGGTTCAACCTCTTATAATGATCTGTTTTTTTTTTTGTAAAAGGTTTAAAGATCTTCTTTAATCATATTAACTCATATTTATCATTACTTCACTTATTTTCTAAAGCAGTGAAGTAGATCTGATTCTTTTTACTATCAAAATCTTCAAGTCAAGTATCTTGCATATCTCTTGATTTCTCTTGATATATAAGAGCAGATGAGAGTGAAGTTCCATCTATACAAATTGAGACAAGTAGTATTATGAATTCTCAACTATCATTCTGGCTGACACCTATCATACAGCCTGATTTGAGTGAATTAATTGATACAATATATTTGAGAGTATGAATGAATTCTAATAGAAATTCTTTCTTATCAAAGTTGTAGATATTCACAGATTCAAGATTATATTTTATGATTTTTATTTACAGCTAAAAAATTAAGATAAATTAACAAGATGAGAATTAAAAAAGCAGTATAAGAAAGAAATCTATTGCAAGATTAAAATAATGCTTGAAGTACACAGAATTGTCTGCAATCTTGTGTTTTTGATCAATATTTCACAGATAGAGTGACTTGATCATATTTTTGTAGCACTTGCAGAACTGAGTCACTTAGTTGACTTCAATAGATGCTTTTAGAATCTCAACAATGAGATTATGAAGGATTTGGGACATACAAGGGAAACTGCAATCTGCCAATCAATTGATATGAAAAAGAAGTCATTTTTCTTGTGAATCAGTGAGAGCTTTGCAGTGGATAGAGCTTGCTTCCTTTCTTGACATTTGAACACCTCTATAACACCTTGACAATGTATATCAGCTGATTTCATATTTTTTAGCAGTCTCAGTGTAATTAGGTGTTAATTGCACATTCAAATCATCAATCACAGCTTGTATAACTGCTTCGTGGTGCATGTTGTGAGTGGTTAAAGATGAATGAAAAATGAAGATTTGAGCGGGCGTTGGGTGTAAACGGGCGTTGGGTGGTTGATTACGTTACATGTAAAGTATTTAGCAAGCCTCAATTGGTATGAGTCAGGCTTGTTTGACTACGAGGACAGCTGAGGCAGCTCAAACATCAATCAAACACAGATTTGTCAGGCCTATCCGCCTTCTTACATAATCCACACTGTATATAACTTTCGCGTAGCTAGTGATCACTTTATAATCAATCAAGCAATCTATCTTTGACAGGTTATGAGACTCATTTTGCACAAATAACTGCCAATTCAAGGAATTCTTGTCAAATATAGCATATATTAATCACTGCTTGCTTCATTCAATATAATATTGTCTTATTTTATGTCAATTGATTGATTTGATGCACTTTTATATTATTATTATTTTTTCTGTATTCAATTCATTCACTTAGTGAGTGAAAGAAAAATCTGCAACTTGCTAATTTTTCAATGACTGATCACACAAGAACATATCAATCTACTCAATTAAGCTTATAGACAAGAATCTCACTGAATAAGATTACTCTGTTATAAAGAAGATTAATATGACATGATGAAATGTATGATGACTCACTCACAGTTATAATTGAGTCAATTCAGTCAATCTGATCAATCTGAAAATGATCAGAGGGCTCTGAGCTCACTGAGCCTCTCAGAGGCATTCAGAAGTTTCAATATTGAACTCTTCAAAACACTCAATTGGCAAGCTGAGCTGATTACAGCCTCTACCACAGTGAGGTCAGTCTGTCTACATCATGTCAAATATGCTGACTTAACTTCTTCAGAAGATGAGGTGAAGATGTCTGCAGTGATCTCTAACTCATCATCAACAACTGACTCTGAAGAATTGCAACTTCAACTTCAATTGAAGAGGCTTCACACTCAGAATGACAGAACTGCAATACTCACAAATTCATCAGTGGATTAAATATCAGCATGAGATCTGAACTTGAGGTCCTGAATGCAATATAATCTCTACAATCTGGATAGCTGTGTCAGCAAGGTGATCAACCAGTTCAAACAGAATACTAAATATGTCATGAAGCTGAACACTCTGGTCAGATCTTTGAATTATCTCTCCTGGCATGTAAATATGAAGGCTAAGCTAATTGACACTCAATGCTAGATTATATTGAAGTACAAGTAAGTCAAAATCCCTGATGAGGACTCTGAATGAGCTCTTTTTTGAGAGGTCAAAAATTGCTGGCTTTACACATTCATTTTAAACATGTTGGCAACCAGCATTAGGCCCTGTTTTAATAAGTATGATGAGAGCAGAATCACTTATTCTCTTTGATGTGTGATTGAGAAGGAGTTCTTCATTCTGAGAATGCAGCTCTGCAGAGAAGCAGTCCTAGCATTTACATCAATGAGTGATGTTCAAGTCACCAACATACATGTATTTTTTTATAAGTTCAATGACATTACTATGAAATTAGAAATACTCAATATCTTACTGCTAAATGATATGATATTCCATGTGTTCTATTCTGCACTTCTCAATATATGGTGAAACTATGTGCAAAAGAAAATCAAGAAGATACAAGAGTTCAAATCAAAGTCTGTCATATTAGATGTTCATTCAACTATGAAGAAAATACACTCTCAATTGAATTCTCTCAAAGAGGTCAAGAAGTCTGCCCAGGCGGCTAATTCTTTAGTCAATGTGGCTCAGGCTGAAAACACAGCTGCAGGTTCCAATAATAGCAGCAATGTCTAAAATAATTCAGCCTGTGAGGACCAAACCAGAGGATGTGAAGGCTATCAAATGGGTGGATGTTCAAAGTCTGACCTCTCAATCTGCCTGGAATGTGAGCATCATCATGGCAGGCTCTGCTGAGCAGCCAATCTGAATAGCATCTCTGAAGAATGAAGAACCACCAACATGGTGAGAATAGAGAAATATAATAATAAAAAGAGTAGTGAGGGCAAAAAGACCCTATCAACTGCAAATGACAGCTCTGAGACATTTCAAATGATGAATCTAGTGCAGGTCATTGAGGTGTCTGCATACTCTGCTGAATCAATCACCAACCCACTCATCATATGAGATAGTAGGACCAGATGTCATATTGCATGTGATTGATCATGATTTTTCCAAATAACAAAGGTTAGCAGCTCTATGATTCAAGTGGTCAATAAGACTACCTTGAAGGTTCAAGGAATCAGAGTTGCCTCCATCCCAGTCAGGGAAAGATTAATTGAATTTGACTATATCTATTTGGTGCCAGGCTTATCTGCCAACCTCATATCCACTGGTCTATTGAAGTGCCAGGGCTATATTCATCATGATCTGCAGGTAGATGCTGGAAATTACTTTGAAATAATAGCACCTACAGGAAATGACATCTTCTATGTGAATTTGAATTCTAATAATATATACATACTATCTGACACTTTCTCTATGTTCAGAGATATTATGAATGATCTAGAGCTTGGACCACTGGCATACTTGATGATTCTGAAGCCCAGGGTGATTTCAACAAATTATGATCTGAACACTGCATCACTGGGTCTTTTCAACTGCAATGATGTGGAGCAGCTAATTAACCTGAAGGATTCAGATACTGATACCTTCATTTTGTCCTCACCAACCTGCTTACCCACCATTATGCTGAAGCAGCTATCAATTGATGAGTGGCACTGGCAGTTGAGCCATATTGATGAGAAGAATCTAATTAAAATATTGTGGGAGCTCTGTTTTAGAATTGCTATCATTGACTCAAAGAAGCTCTCATTCTGCATCATATGCATTAAAGTCAAGCATAAATGTGCAAGTTATAAAAACACTTCTCTACACTGTGCCACCTGCAAAGATCTTAATATTTGAATGAATCTATTCAGAGGTGGAGAAATACTTGATAATGAAGAAGATACACCATTCTATGTGAGTAAGAAGCTCATGATGATGATCACTGATGATGTCACATGAATGTGATGGATCTTTCTATTGGAGTGCTGCAATGAGACTCTAAAATATATACAGATCTTCAATCAATTTATGAAGAATCTGCTCAATCATGATGTTGTGATTATTCACTCTGATCATGATGAGTTGAATTCAAATGTGACAGCTGCCTATATGATGAGTGAGAGTATTAAATGAGAACTAACTCTGTCTCATACTCTGCAGCAAGATGATGTGTCTGAATATTCTATTGATCTGATTATCAAAAAAGTCTGAACATTATTAATAGATTTCTTTGCTCCCTCTCAGATGTTAGATGAGACAGTAATTATGATGACTGAAATGCTTAATCTTATGTCAATGTCAGTCAAGCTCTATAATGATGTAGAGGATTCAGATCTGAAGTTAATTATCTTATGTGAAGCTTGACTCAGGGCCTTGCCCTTCACACACAGAATTTGCCAATGAGAGTGCAAGGCTTATTTAAAAATAGTGCTCAAGCTGAATATGAAGATGATCTCATAATCACAGAAGCTTATATTTACAGGCTATGATGGTTTTACTAATTATAGATTGGTTGATCCTTCTAACAGTTGTCTTTACACATCAAAAGACATGATATTTCAAGAAAATCTTCATTTGGCAGATTCTCTGATCTCATCTGAGTAAGATATCAAGAACCTGTCTTTCACTACTCATATGACTGCAGTTGTGATCCTCTTCACTCAACATGATTTATCAACAAATGATTTCATAGTAAATGAGAAGTCTCTACTTACCCCTTCAGTATTTCTACACTTTACAAATAATTGATGAATAGACTATGAGGTTACTATGTGAATTTCAACATTTTTGATGTGAAACACTACTATTCTCTCAGGGTCCACTTTAAAGATGGAGGATTCTTCAATGCTCACTGAGAATATTACTTCAGTGAGAGAGATCTCAGTGAGAAATTTCACTAACAATTCAATTGACATCTCTGCAGACTCTGAGATCACTGACTTGTCAGTTCTGAAGAATCTCACCTAGGCTCAGGCATCTGCAGATTGAAAATATTACTTTCATGTCTGTGTTAAGGAGATTAACTGCCTTAAGCAGATTGGTGCATGGCAGCTAGTTGAAAGGACCTCAGATATGATGATTCTACATGGTCAATGAGTATTTGACAAAAAGATTAATAATGCAGGTAGAATTGATCAATATAAGGTCTACTGAGTAGTCTACAGCAATTATCAAGAAAAGAATATCAACTATTCAAAGATATTCACATCAGTTGTATTGATCTCCACCTTCTGAGCACTTATGACAATCTCAGTATTCTGAGAATGGCATGTTCTGCAGATTGACATGATTATGATATTCTTAAATGCCTGGCTTCTCATCAATGAATGTATATATATGCATCAACCCACCAGGTTCTGTGAGAGATGTAGCAATCTGATATGTAAATTGATACAGAGACTATATGGTCTGAAGCAAGCAGCACTATTATGATATGAGAAGCTGTGAAAAATGCTATTGAAAACAGACTTTCACATCAGTTCTCATGATGCTGATTTTTTCATAAATGATATTCACAAGATCTATATAATCATCTATGTGGATGATGTTCATTTATATGAGCTGAATATATCAGATATTGAGTGGACAAAAGCTCAGATTACCACTAATTATGAGATCAAGAATGTGAACAATTCAAACTGATATTTGAGTATGAAGATTGATTGGGATGCTGAATCATTATTGCTGTCCCAGTCACTGTTCATAAAGAACCTGCTTGAGAAATTCTCAATAAATGACTATCACTCAACATCTTCCTCTATGAAGGAGAATGTTAATTTCATGAGTGATAATGAAGAATCAATTACTTATACAGCAGAATTTACATTATGTTCCTATCAATCAGAGATTGACTCTCTGCAATATCTTGCTGTCAACACACATTCTGATATAAGCTTTGCTGCTGACTTTCTAGAGATATTCAGCTCTTATTCTATCTCAAAGAATTGAGCAGCATTCAAGTGAATTCTTAAATATCTACAAGGCATACTCAATATAGATGTGTCCTATTAAAAAGACACAGATATAGAATCTGTGGTGTTCACTGATGCTGATTGAGTGAGCTGTGATTCAGATTCTCACTTCATCACTGAATATGTCATTTATATGACAGGAAATTCTGTTGCTTGATGAAGCAGCAAGTAGACAGATGTTTCAAAATCATCTATTGAGGTCAAATATATCACATTCTCAGAGGCTGTCTATGAGCTTGTCTGCCTCTGGGAATTGCTGGAGGATGCCAGCTTTGTGCTGTCTCAGCTTAATAATCTTGATGATAATAATGATTCAATTGAATCATCAGTCAATAAGCTGATGTATATGATTTGAGCAGATAATAAATCAGCAATTGAACTGATCAAAAGTGAGACTATTTCACACTGATCTAAGCATATAGAGATTCACTTCCATACTCTTCAGAATCTTGTCCACAAGAACAAGATCTCAATTGATTACATTCCATCTGCTAAGAATGCAGCAGACAGGCTGACCAAGCTGCTTGAGATGACTAGATATGCTCTATGACAGCAGATATTAGAAGACACAGTAAGCAGGCAGAAATGATTATATGGAGGAAATGACTGATTTTTCAACAATATGGGTTTTCCAGTCAAATTATGCACTGATACCTAGCTACAGGCTATTTTTTGTATGTAATCTCACATACAGTTACATCAGTGAGTGGGGGTGTCAGGCCTATCCACCTTCTTACATAATCTGCACCATATATAACTTCCGCGTAGCTAGCGATCGCTTCATAATCAAGCAAGCAATCTATCCTTGACAAGATTTTCTTCAAAAGCAGTGGAATTCAGATAGGTAAGGATTTATCCTTTGGATTGTGAAGAGGTTCTCGCTTTAGAAATGTACATGCTTGATCTTTTTTTTTTTTTAAAATCATGTCTTTTGTGAAAGTCGAAAGGCAATGTGGGAATAGGTTAATATACATCCAATGATTGTCTGCAATAAATGGATAGTTGTTTTATCATTTTTGTTGAGCTGGACAAAATCGATACATTAGCCCCTCAAGATGTATTATAAGTTTATCCCGCTTGGTGCTCCAACTGACACTGAGAAGGTGAGAAGGCGGAATCCCCGAATAAGACCTTTGCAATGGGTCGACGTCATGTTGCTGGCGAATTGAGGACGGAGGATACTACTGATAGAGTCGAGAAGGGCCATCGCAAAAGATCGGCAATAGAACATTAAAAGGTCACCATTCATGTTGACGGTTGAATTCTACGTGCTTCTCACCCGATGGCCCGTCTTCAACTCTTTTAATGGTTTATTCATTCTCTGGTGGCCTCTGGAAAAGAAAAAGAAGATTCAATTCCTTCGGGATGAGGGTCTGGCGCATAAGCATCCACAGATCGAATACTCGGTAAGAAGAAACGAAATTAATCTCAGATGACGGAGAAAATGGTCTAGGGGTACCATACTGTAAAATCCTGTCTTATGGGTACATTAGATAAATCATGCAGTTAGCTTGATGATATAGCTTGGATATTTACTGCGTCGCCGATCTATTGCACTGATATTTCTGTCTTTGGACGCCCACCGCCGAAACTGCGAGAGGAATTAAGTAACTAGTTAAGTATACAAAGGATGATATCAGACAAAAGGGTGGAATGAATCAGCCTCACCAACCAGGATGTGATAAACGATGGATAAAGCAATGAAATAGGAAATAAATGGAACAAAATAAATATAAAATGAACTGCCTGGATATCTACCGAAATTGTAATGGAGGTGAGGTTCGCTGTTGATATAGTAAAGATACTTAAGGACAAGTCCCTCCTGGAGACTTATCAACATTATTAAAGAAACCAGCGAGTTTGAGAGAGAGAAGTGATATGGGAGTAGAGGGGGGTGAAAACAACATCCAGTTGTTAACAATACATGGATGGATTGGGGTGTTCTTCACACCTATGTCCCCCAAATATCCTCATCGCTCATCACAAGGTCTTCTTCTTGCTGTACTCGTAGTCCATTCTCTTTCTTTTGTTGCTTCCATTCTCTCCTCGTAACTATGTGGCTCGGTGTAAGGGGGGTGATTGGGGTGAAGGGCATGTAAGGGGAATATGGCGTTTGCGGGATACCAGTCCGAGGGCCCCCCGCTCTCAACATACTCTCACGACGTTCGACAAAAGTAGTTTTCGTTGGCGCAGCGCTGGCAGGTGATGCGAATGCGCGGAACGGTAATGTAGAGTTGCTACTACCGGATCGGATGTGGAGAGGAGAAGGAAAATTCCTGTGGGGAGGTTCAAGGGATTTCTGGTTTGGATTGGGTGGAGGAGGTCCCGGGGTATATATGCGTGGTGACAATGGTAGGCTTTCGGAATAGTTGTTCGCTGTAAGATCAGGAGAACCCATGGGTGGTGAAATTGGCAGATTTCGCACTGACGTTCGACGGGATTTTCTACCGCTCGAACCGTCGCGGGATCGGGAACTGAGGAAAGAGAGGTTGGAAAGTCTCGATAATCTTTGAGCTATTGGAGAAAGGGGCGAGGTTGGAAGCATCTGCTGCTGCTGTATCGCTGAAGGATCTCTCGGTGGTGGGAACGTGGGCTGTTGTTTCACTCGAGACTGTTGTGGTTGTGATGATCGTCCCTTATGTCTGAGATGTCGAAACTCTGGGGGGCCTTCGAAAGACTCGGGGGATGATGACGAGGGCTGATGCACGGACGAAGCAATTCCGTCTTCGTTTGCATCATTCACAACACGAGACTGCTTTGCATCATGCTCCATGACTGCGGCGTAGAGCCGCTCCATCTCATCCTGTGCTCTTACGCGGTCTGCCTGGACTACGGTCTCGTCGAAGGTGGCCATACTTCCATTCTGAGAGACAGGGGAGGTTGGGCTCCGAGGTGTGGTAGACCAAGGCATGGTGAAGGTGGGTTTCCCTTTCTTTGGGCTTGGCCAGAGTTGACTCTCTGTTCCGCTTTCTGGGGTTGGCGAAAGTCTGTTGGGAGATACTGGGCTTATTGTGGTATCGAGTGCTGGCCTTTGCGGCTTGACCATTTCCATGTCAAGCGTCCGGTTGGATTGTTGTGCGCTTCGACGCAGTCTTCTCCCGGTCGTCAGAAGACACCCTAGGAATACTACCACCGTGCCCACGTATGCACCTACTATGGCGACAATATCTCGCCAGAGCAGGTTTAGGTCGCGGTTTGCAGAAGCCGAAAATGGAGGATGTTCCTCGGGAGCAGGGGCAGGGCCGTTGAAGATATTGACAACCCGAATCGAGGCAGTATGAACGACGCTGGCCTGGATCAGAAATAGCAGAAAGCAAGAAATGATGGGGAAAAATGTCGAGTGTGAAGCGGACATGTCGCAGCCTCCCGTTGTTATACTGCATCCGACATATTACTAGCAATCAAAATCACAAACAATCCAGGATTCCCTTCTCAGCTCTGTAACAAAAGAAGTTGCATTTACCACTGTGGTGGGGTCATGCGAGATATAATATCCATGCGAGAAAGAGCAGATCTAAACCTTGCGTTCTCACTTGAGGAATTGAATCAGAAAGCATACAAGCACAGCGGTGGGTGATGTGATCGACATTGAACTTCCTCAAATCCATCGTTGCAGCATGTTAAAAGGGTAAAAGAGCAACATGATGGACCTGATAGGAAGCTGACCTCAAGGTCACGGGCTAATTCGCGAATAACAGTTAGCCACTGCATTGAACTCCCTTCATTTTTCTCTGATTGCTGGGTTTTTCAGGTCAAGGGAGTTAGCCGCCCGACTCGCATTGGTTAGGAGGTTTTTCAACAACCATCAGTGATTGATGTGGTTGGCCATTTACTTGAATTGGATGCCCAAGGAAGAGGGGTTCACCAGCAGCAAAGACTGATTTGCTGTGGTTAAGCGCCGGGGCCAAGGAGGAGATCCATATTTGATCAAGTTGGCTGTAGCCAGTCGCTGGCGAGACCGCTGTGCAAATCCCAGATCCCCAGTCTGCGCTGACCGGCGCGACCCCTCAATGGATGTGGTTTCGGACGCATGATTGGACAGGAAACCAGAGTAGCCACCAAAAGGAGGAACCATTCCTCATAGGCTGAAAGTTCCTTAGCTCCTCGTCCAGCTGCATGAATGCCATGGCGATCACACCAGAATTTCGGCCATCACATCAGTCACATTTCACGGTCTGTTGTCTGAGATGTCCGAGAGAGTTAGTTACCTGTGCTCAAAACCTATTAATAGAATGGCTGGATTCCAGAGTAATGTGATGCTGGATGATGCGTTTTTTGCGCTGCTTCTTGTTGAAGTCAAGGATGGGTTCAAAAAAGGTCTTCGAATATTTATCTAGTTACGGAGGAGTGACTCTGTATGTATGGAGCAGGAGTCAAGAGAAATCCTCAAATTTCCTCACCTTGGCATATATATATATATATATGTGGAGTAACTACTCCTCCGTACCTCGTCCGTGCTTATTTGCACACTTTCTGTTGGTTGGATTGATAGCTTCGCCCAGCTTTGGTTCATCATGTCAATGATGCTACCATTGCTGTGTCCAACTCACCACAGCCCTTGTACACTCAGTTGTTGACCAGTGTGACAAATAAGAGAACTCATTGATGGGAGAGGACCCGATATAACTTGTGATATCGGTGATATGCCCCCTTTCCCTCTCGAATCTCCGTGACTCTCCGTTTATGTAACTCAACACTTTCATTTGTTGTTCCTCGGCATTTCACACCATGCCGTTCCACAGAAGAACGGCTGTGCGAGGGACTATCCCGGTTGAACAGAAATGCCTATTGATGATTCGTTTCAGTAGGGTAAGAGACCTGTGATGATCTCGATCCAATGGACAGCCCATGAGGAAGAATCTCTTTACAGTTTGACCGAAGTTAGATGCAGCTTGACGTTGGCTCGACTTGATGCTTGATTGTGACTCTCCTGCCGGACAAGGGAGATTGGGCTGTGCGGTGCTACAAACGGTGCTACAAACGTCATGTTGCATCCAATACATCTCCTATCTCCTTTATTCCATTTCGGCTATTCATACCCCTTAAACCGTCCAGAGAGGGGGAAACTATATGTTTGTCCAGCTTAAAGCTGCTTGGACTGTGTGCTTGCAAACATCCTCCGGCGGCGCTCAAGGGCGGTAAAGTACCTATAGGTAGATTTGCCGGCAAGTCTGGTGGTATGCTACTTTGTCTTGCACATTTTCTGAACTCAACCATTGATCAGGAGAGATATCGGTTGGCGACTCAGCGCCACGGGAGTTAAATAGCTGCGTGCTGGAAACTGCTCCAAATCGAGCACACCGGGACATACAAGCCGCACTGCCACCAGGGCAATTACAGGCATTTTATATCTCGCAGAGAGAGGATTGCCCGACCCGGCGACTTTCTCTCTTCCTTCTGTCTCCCCAAAGTGCTCGGAATACATTACAGTCCCTGCCTGCTGTTTCTGGGTGGGCTGGGACCTGCTTTGCACGCCCGCGGCCCTGAATGATGCCTTCCGCAAGGGAGGGCTGGCTACGACATCCTGACAACTTCGACTTCTGCTGGTTGGCATTTTCCATGGGGATGATCAAGTGCTGCATTTTCAACGTCCAACAGAGTAATGAATTTCAACCTCTTGCCTGCGGGGAGGAGATTTTTCCCCCGGCACACTGGCATGGACGGTTTACTTCCACATTCGTTCCCCTCTCTATAGTTAAACATACACCGACGGTTCTTGATTTACAATTACTCATTTGTTCTTCTCCTCGAAACATCCTCTTATCTCCTTTCCAAGATGGGAAACAAAGTTTCTGCAGTAACAGGAGTCCGCTCTTCTAACTTCTTTGAGCCAGGAAACGCTGTAAACGAAATTTGGGTTGGCGATTTAGAGGTGGTATCGCGGTTCCCTTTTGGCGATTCAGACATGGCACAGGCTGCTTGGCCCAAAAATGACTACCCTAAGATTCCATGGCGTCCATTCATTATCCCCCTTCGTGCTCTCTTCTCAACGGTTTTGAAATCCCGATCTCTCTCCGCGATGGCAAGCCCTGAGTTCGGGTGGTTGGCTTCTTTGCGTACGTTCGCAGATACTAAAATGCTCTTGGTGTGCTGGGTTGTGATGCAAATTTTTGCCATCCCCCTACTTATGGTGCCGATTGCTCTACACCTTGCTCCCCGCGATATCTCCACGTGCATTGATGATGATGTTGATGATACGTCGTCATCTTTGCCTATTCGACCCGATGGTCGTGATACAAGATCGTTGGACGATTCTCCACGGAACAGGAGAGAAACAACTTATATCCGTGCTTTGTTGGGTTCTGTTTTCCATGTATCCGGTGTACTCGTAGCTTACGGGTTCGATCATCGACTTGTCATGGATTCTCTTCGCCCCTCTGAGCCTTTGTCTGACCCATCCGAGTTTGGTGTTTTTACCCCCGATGATCCTGGTGGACTGGACGCTTTTGCTGTATATGCAGCAGTGTCAATGGCTTTAACTCTGAACTCAGCCTACTCAGTGTTCCGTCTGTGGTGGAAGTTCTTTAGATTGAACCATGACCCTGAGAATGGAGAGCAATATATGGGCAAAATGGACCTGGCCATTTTTCCTCCGCCCCCGGACTATACAGATGAGCAAGTAATCACTCTCCTTTTGTGATCGCGACCCTGAATCACCTTACCACCGGCACCATACAGTCGAAGGTTCTGTTAAAAAGCGTCATTTTTGAGTCGATCCTATTATTTCTCGTGACACAATGACGAAAATCGGGAGATAGTTTAAGGGATTTGAACATTTCCCCTCGGCAGGAGCCCCGGGACGTTTGGAGCAGATGATCTTTAGCCAGCCTCACCACATGTACCTTCCTCTAAGCTCATCATTTGGAGCCCCTAAAAGACAGTAGTACCTCGAATTTCATTACAAATTTCGCCTAAAAGCCGAGTCCAGCAGCAATAGATATCATTCTTAACTTTACCTTCCTTGATCACCATATATCATTTCTATCTGTTGCTTTCTCGACATAACCTCGACAGACAGAAGAGACGACAGAGGAATGGCCAATGATATCATCGCTCATGATTCGTTATAGAAGACGTCCTGCATTGGATTGCACTGGAAATTCTCTTCCCTATTATGTACAGTCCTAAAATTACATCTATCATGCTTTATAAATTTCTTCACAGGTTACCTCTTTTGTGTGTATACATGATCCATGTGAGAGCTTAGCTGGCTGCTGTGTTATTCCGATTCCACAGATCCCGCCAGAACTGCTTAAATCCATACCGCTTGGAGGGTTCCTCCTCATGAAGGCATAGATTTTTCTTTGAGGTTAGCATATTGAGGAAACCACCTTCACTTCCCTTTTCAGGGACTTTACGTATAGAATCGCGAGACCTCTCCGTTGCTCTCCGTCGTAGCTCGACGGAAAGAGTGGGCGCGACGTCAGCGTAACAGGAGAGTAATTCCCGCTCAAGTTTCAGGTATGGCTTTTGGGCGACTGCGGGAGCCATGAGGTTATAGGATCTGATTAGAGAATTGATATTTTTGATTGTCAGGTCATAGTATGGTCGTTCGGTTTTTAGATATTCAGGATCCCGGAGCGGCGCGACACTTGGGAGAGGTTCTGAATGAGTATTGATGGAGTCATTAGGATTGGGTTGGGAGCAGTTTGTCACGGTTTTTACTGTTGTTGCATGTCTGGGATGGGATAATTCTTGGGCCGATTTGGGTCGAGATTGCGAGTAAGGAGTACCACATAATCTCCCGTCCAGACTAATTTGAGACATGTACTCAATTTCGGTACCCAAGACCTTAGAAGACGCATCATCTTCACTTCCATTCATGCCAGTATTGCCCAGTCGTGATTCCGCAACAGCATAAGCTCTCGCTCGCCGCATCTGAGCATCCAGGGAGCCACCATGGCTTACAATCAATCGTACAGCATGCCCTTTCCAGTCACTACGTAGCCGTCTCCGAAACCGCTCGACCTCCTTCGCCAATTCCTGCTGCTTCTCAATCCAAGGCGGCGTAATGTCCTGTTTCTGAATTATCTTATTCAGCAGATATTCCGTCGTGTCGATATATGGGCTGCTAGCATTATGATCACGCTCGATATTAATACCCTTGCCGCGTTTGATATTCCTGAACTGGCCGCGGGCAATAGCGTCTTCGATTCGCTCGTTGGCAAGCGAGCTGAGTCCCTGCGGAGTAATTGCACGAGCCACAGGCGTAAATCGCTCCTGCAGCTCTCTGCGAATAGCTTCGCGTTCCTGATCAGACATGTTGGCATTTTGGCTTAGGGCATAAGTTGACGTGCCGTCACGGGCAGCCGCCAGTCGTTCAGCTGGTGACTGTGACCGGGAATTTTTGAGAGTGAGCTGTAGGTTCTTTGGACCGGGTTGGGGTGGTTTAAAGGGGACGCGCATTGGCTTGCTTGCATCGTTTAGCATACGGAGAGAGACGTCGTGAATGGATTCGGTTCCCGTCCATGGAGTTGCGGTGGCAATATCTTGGGTTTCTCTACTGGCATTGGCCTGAGGGAGTTATTTGTTAACCATTTTAGTACCTGGTGCAAGTAAGAGGCCACAGAACTGTATCTTTCAACCAAAAAGCATCAATTGATATATATATTGGATTTCATACCGGCATATTCGCAAGAGAAAATGCTGCAGCGTTCTCACTTCGAAAAGTGCTTTCTGCGATCCTCTCTTCCAGTTTTTTCTTCAGGTCTTCCGAGAAGCTTGCTTCTTGCAAGTTCTTGCGTACAGATTTACCACCCTCTAGCATTGCTTCGTCAGCCATTTCAGATAATCTTCTGGACATGGCACCCTCTTCCGCTGAACTAGGAGTTCCATTTTGCTTTTCTTGTCCGGTCCTTGTGTCGTTTGGAGCATGTTCATGTTGCGAGTGGGCTCTGGGTAGGCTGAAGAAGCGCCTTGTTGGGATGACACAGGAGTCATGAACCAGAGGAGTCCTTAGTCGTTGGGTCCGAGTGCACGCAGCACATATGTGGGAAGTAATAAGCCGCTGCTGACACCTCATTATTCCATTTCCTCCGTGCAGTTCAGATAAGAATATAGTCTTCTCATCGTTCCGAATTGTAATCAGTTTGGTGCGAGAAAAAACTTTTTGTGGCGAGCCGCCGCAACTACGGGGTTGATGGGGTTGACACACCAAATCTAAGCATACCCGCGCGCCTCATTAGTTAACTTAAATAAGCCTACCTAGAAACTGTTGGGCATGTTTGCCCGGGGCAGCCGCCCCCCTCGCACGTGCTATAGGCGTATATTAGTTAGCTTAGCTAGTCCCCCTCCCTAATAGGAATCAACCATCCCACAGAAACCTACCGGTGCGCATCACCTAATTTAGTAGTTTGGTCCCTATGTACAGTTATTTCTGGACGCCCTCATGCGTATGATACCAGTGGCCCAGAGGATCATTTACGAGGCGAGAAGATTCGACGACGACCTCTCTGAAGGTTTCAGGGGCATCATCAATATTCTCTATGAACTATAATGGTGAAAAGTTGTATGTTCCTTGACTATTACTCATCTTAAATCTATCAGTTTCCAATCATCTACCTCTATAACAATGAAGATATTAAATATGCTGATAATGTGATCCATGACTTGAATTATATTTACTGTGGGAAATTCAGACTTATTGCAGTCTCAAGGGATCTGATATATATAATAGGATTTATATATATCATAGTCTTATAAATATATATTATTCTTAAGCTCAACTGCTCTTACATCTTGTCTGAATATCTTTAAGCATAATATTGATCTCACAAGCAAAGTTTTAATAAAATATTTATTAAATCTTCTAATAATAAACTAACCTATAGCATAAATAGATGATTAAAATAGTTAACCGCGTTTAGCAAATACATTTAAAGTACAATAATCTTTATTTCAAACACATTGTGACTAACTATTTCTGATGACGCAAAAAAAAGGTGTGTAAATAGATTTTAATATTACAATCACTTATTCTGACAGCAGCTACATTGGAGACAGAGAACATGGCGTAATGAAGATTGAACCAGGCATATCAAGAAGTGTTGAGGTGAAGCTTGTTGATATTTCTAGGATGGAGGTTCGTTCATGCGCGCAGCACCTGAACAAGCAAGGCTCTCAAACAAGTGGGCGATTGAGTGAGCAAGACCTCCTCACGATCTCCCTCTATATGAATGCCCAAGCTTGGGATGGGAGGTATTGATCGCATTAGCATTGAGATCGAATTTCAACACCTGCACGAAGCAACCACGGAGTTGGTATTTGAGGTGGCTTGTCCCATGGAAATTGTTCCTGATTTTCTACCAATGTACCTGTCAATGGTTGAAATCCAGGTCAAGCCTTATGAAGACCAAGAAATTCATGTATCAATATATACACTTTTCGCACCTGTCATCTCTACAATCTTTCCATTCCAATTTGTACCAACACCAAATGATCGTCAACGCCTAGTAACAAGTCAGGATAGCGTTGCTCTGTGCAGTGGACGTTCTACATGCTGAAGTAAAGTCTCACAAAACTGCATAATGTGGGCGTAGGTAAATTCAGACCATTGACCAACAGCGGACCAACGCTGTTGACCTGCCTCCGCCTATATATGGCCTAAATAACTGGTCGTTTGTTGCTGTGTTGGGCGTTTTGCTCGTTTCTTCCAAGTACTAAACTATGTACCTTCCTTTAAATAGGTACCGAGGGACTCCACTCTGCGGAAGGTGGGTCTTGGCATCGGCGAAATCAGAAAAAGGCGGCTCTGATTCGTTTCGGCCAACCGATTCGTTGCTGCCATAGCTTTCAACGCTTCAAACTCCTCAAGACTTCTGCAACTCTGTATCTAACCAAAGAAGACGGTCTTCTTGACCTCTTACCTACGTCCCCAGGTTTCTCGTCTCACCACCACCGTAACCATGCCTCCAAAGGGAGCTCCAACGCGCATGAAGCCATTGCGCCTCCAGACAATACAAAAGCTACGAGTGAAAAGTCCGAATACTCACCAAGCGAACCCATGTCTTGCAGTCATGACGAGTGTGTTAAGTCAGTCTCCTGTTTCCCTTTCCGCAGTCTCTGCTCGTGGCATTGCCACCTCTTTTATATATATACCCCGCCAGTTCTATCAACCAAAAAAAAAAAAAAAAATTCACAGTACAAGCGTGGAAAAAGATCTTGCATGAATAATGTTCGCTAATGCATTTCCTCTATTGTATCTTATAGGTTGCTGGGCCTCGAGCCGATCGGGTAGCGGTGGGTGTTTCTCCTTGGAGCAACAACTAAGAGCTTGTATGGATACAAGTGTACGTGCGATCCGTCTTTCCCCGTTTGTCAATTGTTGCTGCAAAGTGCACGTTTCTTCTTCACTGCACAGAAGCCATGTCAACTAACTCGATAATACACTTGGATTGGTTGTATAGAAACCACAACGAGCAGGCAAGAGCACGATCAATTACCATCTTATGCGAATGTTTCCGAAAATATCAGGACCGAGAAAGAAGGAGGGGGTGTTTCATTAGGGAGACTTTGTATTTGTTTAATTCATTTCTTATTTCTGTCCTGCCTTCGATGCGGGATATATTATTTTCACCTTTCTTTCCATATTTCAGCATATATCGGTTCTATAGATTCTGTATAGAGCTTTCTTCGGTTTTTCTTAAACGAAAATGAAGATGTTGATGAGGTTGGTGTCTGGGATTTTGTGACAATGACTATATTCTGTTGACTTATCACGGATAACTCACGGAAGTGGCCGGCGACAGTCGCTATTACCTCATGCACGGCGCTACAAAAGAGCTGGAGTTTGGGATATTTTCCCCTGATGCATCTCTTAAAACGGACATCCGCCATGTGACCCCACACAAAGGAAAAAAGAAAGGAGTTAGGGTGCTATTCCTCGCCTGTGTATATTCCAAATTTAAAAGGTTACTTGTGATTTATGTTCTGTTCCCATAAATACGCTATTTACAGGGTAAAAATTCAGGCTGAATGTCGTGCGGAGGGAAACTTAACAGTTGGAGGAGCAAGGGCGCACGAACCATATCCGCAGGAATAATCCTGTTGCTTTGGAGATGTTATCGAAATCCTGAATTTCATGCCCCCTCAACATATAAGGGGGTCGGGAGTGAGGGACGGCGGCTTATGACGTCGAGAGAACTACCTAGTGTGGTACAACTTCGAACTTCAAAACTAACTTGTTGCTAGTTGGTCGGACGGTGTACGCATCGATAGCCTCGATTCCCTCGTCGTCAACGATTTTGGTTGTGAAGTTCGAATAGATTACGGCCGCCACGAGTTTAATTTCTGTTTTGGTCCGGAAGGAGGTTTTATTTCCCTTGGTCAGTTGTCACGGCCTCACACGTCTGATGGACGGTTTACAATGGGCTCACTCAATGAACGGGGAAGAAAATCAGGAAAGATTCCGCATCTTACCCTGGAGGGCCAAGTTGCTACCAACACACATCCGTCCTCCACTTCCGAATGCCCAAAACCATCGCCTCATAACCTCCAGGTCAGCCGAACCTTCTGCTTTGAACCATCGGCGGGGGAAGAATGATGTTGGGGCAGGGAAAACGTCGGGATTCAAATGCAGCGAATAAGCTTGTGCGTTTACTCGAATGTTTTGTGGGATATTATGGTATCCTGCTAGCGATGTAGGTGTTGCTGGTGTTATTCGAGGTTGTCCACCTGGTATTGGAGAGTGAAGCCGTAGTGTCTCCAAAACGATGGCATTCAAGAGTGGCAATGCATCGATGGATTTTGGATGAGGTAGCTCAGTGGGAGGCTCAGCACCCAAGGGGGCTGATATCCTTGGTGAAAGGGTTTCCAATTCCTGGCGAAGTTCTGCTTGTAATTCCGGGTTTCTTGATAGTTCCCAGTACAGATATGTGAGGGCAACTGCACTGGTTTCATGGCCGGCGGTGAGATGGTCATACATCTCACAGGCTATCTCAAGGCGCTGCTGTTCCAATATTCCCTTAATCGCCTCAAGGTCAGCCTCAGGCAGCTTTTTTAGCATTGCTTGCTTTATCTGTTTGTATACAACCGGTTCGCAGGCGGGGTCCGTCGATGAAAGGAACTTTTCTGCATTATCGCACATCTCCAAACCCCAGTCTTCCATTTCCCGGTTTGCCTTGTCACACCATTTGGGAATTAAGGGGATCTTCAAAATTTTGGCCAAAGCAGTTATATTGGGAACTTCCTGATGGTAAAACTCAAAGGGTTTGCGTGATTGATAAACCCGGAGCCATTCCCTTGCAGCAGCAACATCCTCCAGGAAGTTTGTGCCAGATTTTAAGCCAAAGATATAAGCGCAAACGAAGTCCATCGTTATTGCGTTGTTCAGCTCATGGACTTCAACGTCAGACTGAGACATCGCATTCTGCTGCAGTATGGGTAACAGTCGCCGGAGGATGACTTCTCGGGATATGGTAGCTATATGAGGGGACGCTTGCAGATAGGATTTAGAGTATATATTTGACATCATCCGTTTACGTATTGAATGGGTTTTGCTTCCTACCATCGAAAACATGCTAATGGTCCTTCAACTCGAGTTAGCATGACAGACATACCCAAGTGCTAACTACCCCCACGACGTCGATGTGTAAGCTATACACCTACCCATAAGCACCAAACACACGAGGGTACCAGTCATGTTTCTCAAATCCACCAGCATAGACGGTTCGAATGCCATTGTCTACGCAGTTTATGGATATCTCTGAAGGGCCCAATCGGACTATGGGGCCGTATTTTTGATGTGCTTCATGTATAGTTCTATTCCCCCGCATCCTGAAGCGATTCCACAGTATCCATGCGGGGGAGAAGGGAGAAGAGAAATGGGCATTTGGTATTTTAGAGAGCGGCGACAGAAAAGCAGGATATAAAAAGAACCTGTACAAGCAGAGAATTAAGATGGCAATGACAAGTACTGCCGGCGAAAGGAATCCCGTGGAAATCATTTGTGGAATGAGGACTTGATGTCAAAAGGTGCTCGGAGACTCGCCGTTGGCAAACGCTATAAGGTATTATTGGACCCCAGTAGAAAAGTCTATTATTTAAAATATGGTGTACTTCATCCGTTCCTCTGGATATATCAAAAGACTCCTGGCCAACATCTCCGGTTTTAAAACCCAGGATATTAGGTTTATTACTTCATTGCCGGCTTTGTCTCATGCATTGCGATTGATTGCCGAAGCCGAGTCCAGCAACTCTATCAGCTTATCTAATCCGCGCATCTTGATAACTAACTAGTTAACTATTAACTAGTTAGTTAGTTAGTTATCACGGGGGGGGAAGAGTCGCCGACCCAATGACGTTAAACCTCACTTTGTCGGGTGAATTTAGCCTTCAACTTGTCAAGCCCAAAACAACGTTATCCAAAACATATAAAGAGCCAGAAGCAGCCACAAATTTGCTGGCTCTTGATCTCCCTTATACCGAGAAAAAATACATATTACATTAAAATTACTTTCCACTGAGGCCTGGGAATGTTACCTGACCTACCAGCGGATATCATCTACCATATTGTTGGTTTTCTGCCTACAGCCAGCTGCGTAAAGAACCTGGGCCAAACCTGTCAGCGCCTGCACGAGCTGATCTCTGCAAACGATTATCGCATCTTCCAGGCCTTCGTGCAAAGCCGTTTTGCATCCATTGACACCCCGCCCTTCTGGGTCGACGCTGCTCGCGCCCTGACCTCGCGGTCGAGAGCATTTGAACGCAAAGCCATCATTGGTCGTTTCGTACTTCCCCCTCAAAATGCCAGGCGAATCGGCCATCCAAGGACAGTCAGGACTGACCATCCCACTCTAGGATACAGGCCGGTGATTGATAGCTATGAAGAATGGTGTGGTAACAGTTGGAATGATAGAAAAGAAGTCCTCGTCTGGGGTGCAGGTGCAGATTTAAATATCCGCGTTACGGATTTGAGTCTCTACGGGAAAAGCCGTTCAAGGGACACTCGTACCGGTTTTGCGGGACGGGGTCACAGTGTTGGACAGCCTTATGAAGGAGTTACGTGGGCCGTTTTTAATAACCTTCATGGGGTAAATAGCTGGGATGATATTTCTGGAGTCCATGCTTTACCTTCAGCGCACGGACCATCCGGCATAGAAAACGAAGATATCATATTTGGGCGGCGTAATGGGAGCCTGGTTCGGATGTCTATTTCTCCTAGAACCGGGCGCTGTGAACTGAAGAAGCGTTATGTTACAGGAAACTCCAACAATCTTGAGAAGACAGATCTTAGCACAGGTTCTCAGAGAGTGCTGGCCGCTTCTTTGGGAAGACGATCGATTTTGTTTTTTAGAGTTGATGCTGAAGAAGATGAAGTAAAACCCTTGGATGAACTTAAAAACCCTGCGAATGAGTTTGCAAGACATCATTGCTCGCGGCTTTTGTGCGATGACCGGATCGCCGTTGGATCTGACAGTGTCATTGATAACATATCTGTTTTCAACCTAACAGCCACAGGAGTTACCAAAACTCGTGAGATCAACATGGATGGCTTATATGACAGTAGTTTAACAACGAAGTCTCAAGTACATACAATTGAACCGCTGCTAGTGACTTCACATACTGGAGGAAGAGCAGGTGATCTTTTCCTTGCAGGGTGGGGAGATAGCCAAATCCGGTATGCGTATTTCCTCCCAGGGTGGAAAACGGACTGCTCCCCGAAATGGGCTCATCGTTTCTTTTTCAGATCTCCTTACTTTTGCTGAAAATTTGGTTACAGGCTTCATGATCTGCGCTCCTCCAAACCATACGTATCCTCGTTCATAGATACGGTGGACAACAGTCCGATATATACCATCCAGCCAATAGGCCGCGAATGCTTCCTTGTCGGCAGTGGTGTCAACGCAACCGTCAAATTTTTCGACATGCGCATGGCTAACAAATATTCCTATCTCGAGGCATGTCGTAGTCCTATACAACCCCCCCTGCAGGGCCACCAACATCACAACCATCAATTTCATGGAAAGAACAGCCACAACAACCTTCACCAGCAAAACTCATTAATCGCCCCCGTAGACTCAGTCCCGAAAGACCCCATTATGTACAGACGTCGCGATGTTTCCGTTTTCCTCTCCAGCCGGGCTCCTTCTCACCCTTTAAGCCGCGCACCATTGCTGCGCGACAGCCTCCGCTACCGGGGTCCCATATACACCATGTCTCTACCCTCCCCGTCCTCATCGACACTCTACGTGGGCGTGGAAGCGAACGTCATCCGGCTCGACTTCGCCTCGACAGATGACATAACCGGACGTCATCGGAAATGGTACGAGCAGAATCTTGGCCTTGGCCTTGACCTTGAAGCTGCCGCAAGTGCGGATGCAAGTGCCGGTCCGGGTCCAGGCCTAGGGTTAAATTACCCGTTGGTACATGACGCTACGTTACGACCCTTTGACCTGTCATGTTATGAGCGACCCTTGCCAGAGGATTTGTGTAAAGGGGTTAGACTGATGATGCAACGTCCGTTTTATAAGGCGGTGGGAAATGGGGAAGGGGAGAGTGATTTGGTTGATGAGGGGAGGGTTTGGGGCTGGGATCAGCGGTGGTGGCAGCCGCTGATTAAGGGGAAGAAGAAGATCCGGGGGAGGTGGACACGGGGGTAAGATACGCACGAACGCGGGGATGAGTGAGTGGGTTAGGTGTTGGTTTTTATAATATTGGTGTTGGATATTTTTCTTTGCCTCTGGGTTATATCTTCTTCTCTTTGAGATACGCTGATTACTACCCTTCCCCTACTGTTGGTTGCTAGAGTATTGACTGGTGTTTTACGTCCCTTGAATTTCCCGGGAGGCACTTTTACCATTATCCATAAAGAAGTCACAGCACATAATCTATTCTATATCAAGTAATTTGGAAAATATCAATAGGATAAACTGTAAGGTAACAACAGCAACAGGATGAGAGTGCTGAAGCGTAATCAAACCCTCTTAGATCTTCCATTAAAAGCATAGCTGGGACACTGCAGATTTAACAAGAGAATTATTCTTTCATTTTTTAAAACACCAACATAAGTTGGCCAATTCACGCATTAAACCTTTCCAAAATTAAAATATGTATGGCGAGGAATTGTTATTATTATTATTATTCTATTTATTTACTCTATTTCATTTAAATTAATTTATTTATTTTAAAAGGAGAAGACATTGAACAGGTAAGTAACGTAAGATTTAACTAACTAGGAGCTAGCAACTGACAAATGGGTTAATAGTAACTTTAGGTCGTGAGACATGAAGAATATTTTATGTGCCCGCTGGCAAATCAAGGATTTAATCTAATTGCAACTCTAATCTTCAAACTTAAAGGACTTCCCTGGACCAATGTCGATAGGTCCACCACGGTAAGAACCGCGCTTCTTCTTGTTCTTCTCCTTTGTGAACCCCTTGCCTCGAGTAACCGAGAGGTCCTTATGTGCTCGTTCAGCATATGCATACGGGACATATGCGTTAGAGGGATGGTCATCGTGAGGTTTCATGCTGGCTAGTGCCAATGGAGTCGGTTTAGCACCTGAATGTTTGACTTGGGGGGTAGATCCAGCTGGGGTAGAGAGGGGCGTTGACTTTGCATTGGATGTGGAGGTACTGGAAGGGGGATTCTTGAGGGCGCTGGGGCTGGAGAATTTGGATTTGGATTTGGCAATGGAATTTGTCTGTTTCTTGGCTTCCTTGGGTTTTTTCTTGCCCACGGAAGATTTGGAAGATGACGAGCTGGACGAGGAGGAGAAGTCAGAGGAATCGCTGGATGAGGAGTTGCCGCCAAGTGTTGCGCTTGAATCGGCCGAGGGCTTGCGGTCCGCACTCATATCCTCACCATCGGATGAACCTGAAGAGGAGAATGATGATGATGAAGATGACGAAGAGTTGGCTGAATCGCTTTCTTCGGACTCGGGAAGCGGGATTTTGGCCGCAATTGCGGCAACGTCAGCGGCGGTAGCTGATTTTGGAATTGACTTCTTTTTCGACTTCTTCTTGTCAGACGCAGATGAAGAGTCGGAATCGGAGTCTGAGGAGGAGCCAGAGGATGATTCTGACGTGGACTCCGAGGACGAATCTGAACTGGAGGATTTATCTGATGCGCTTGACTTTAATTTCCCTTTCCCGTTAGTCGGCAGCTTTGTCCGCTTTGCCGGAGGACGGCCCTCATCCGAGTCAGAACCAGAAGATGAAGAACTCGATGCGTCATCCTGTTTGCGCTTTAGTGTTTTCGATTTGGGAGCAGTTGCCTTGTTGTCCTCCTGCCCTTTCTCCTCCTCCTCTTCATCACTACTATCATCATTTGAAGACGACGAGGAAGAGGTTGAAGATGAAGATGCATCCTCCATGGAGACGTCAGAGTCACTAGAGGCAGACGAGCTTGAATCGGAATCGCTGTAATTGCTTCCATCACTGTCTTCCTCACTGGATTGCTTTGCGACAACCTTTTGTTTCGGACCTTGTTTTCTAAGGTTACGGTTCCAGTTCTCAAAAAGCTCGACTAGCAACGGCGTATTGGCGGTTGCTGAACCGCTGGACTTGTTTCCTGCCTTCCTAATCATTTTGCTCTCCTTTAGTTCTTCACCGAAAACATTGCTGGTCTTGTCAAACCCATAGGCGGTGAGGAAGCTGGTGACCATCGCTAGGAGAGCGGGCGACAACGCCGGTCTTTCAGAGGCAGATGTATCTTTCTCATTCTTCCCCTGTTTGCGCAAAGCATCTCTTAGAATGAGGGCATACTAATGTACAACGCAAGAAAAGAGGTTGCATGAATTGACCTACCATTCCGGTGGTTGATTTTATGCCTGTGGAGTTTGAGGCGGGAGACGCGCTTGCCTTCGCAGTCTTTGAGGGTTTCTTCTTCACGTCTTTCAAGACTGCCATCTTAGCTACCGCGCAGTGTGTCGGAATACGCTCTCAACCTAAATAGCTAAATTTGGGAGCGGATTGACGTGTTGGCGTGCGCGAACCTGTCGTCGCAACATCACAGCAAGACCAAAACATTCCACCAGAAAAAAAAGAAGCGAGAATATAAATAAGGTTGGGCCTAACACCAATGACAGGCTTTGGACTGCTCGGAGGACGCTAGGCAAAACACGGTAACCAAGCTAGTCCATAATAGGCATGACGCTTGCTGGTACAGCTTATGTAATTTTTACGAGTCACGTTAACTACCTAACTAGTTATTGACTAGTCAGCTGGTAGTTGCGTTGGGTGGTAATTACATAACATATCGTCATACTGAGATACACAAAAGTACAGCCCAACTAAGTATCTGGTACCTAAATCCAGCACAACGATGCAAAAGAGAAAAACCAAAGAATATATAAAAAGGAATTGTAACTGCGGGCAGAGAAGACTGTATAAGATTATAACCAACTTGGCTATCCTTTCTGGGTATTCACATTTCAGTTCTCACTCTTTCTTCCGAACTGGCGGTGCTTTCTGCCATCCGTGGACAGTATATATCTGGAGACACCGTTCAAAGTACCAGGTACCACTTGGTGCCTGAGCTGCCAAGTCACGTACGCACTCTCCCACTGCAACAAGCAGCCTCCTTAATTAACTCTTATTTATGCGCCCTTCATACCAACCACGGTCAAACAACCAACTATCAACCAACCAATTGCTCCTCGCTAAGTAGCGGCTATCCAACTACTGCCAATCTCAACGTCGCATATATTCTCTCATTCTACATTTTGAACTACTTTACCTCCTTGCAATGTTTAAACTATGCCCGGTGTATCGATGAGCCTCCCGAAGTGTCTCTTTTGGGCGAGCCTGCGAATATGAACGGCCGCGAACGCCCTTGGGGGCTGCCTTCAAATGGCCCCGGCCCCAAGGAACGGTGGCCCTTGGTGGATGCATGCAACGGCAGCGGCACAATCCCCGGAGCAGCTGGGATGTCAAGAGCAGAGAAATTCGAACATGAGAAGCGGAGGCTCATTCAGAGCTGCTTTGCCAAACAGGATGCAGATGGCTCCAGTAGGTCCTTATAAGATTGTTCTGTTCCGCTCTCAATCGAATATCCCATATCCGGTGTATCGTTAGCATTTTTATGGGCAGTAAATACTTCTATATAGTTGACACGACCTCCCGCAAGTCCTATCCCGCAGACTGTTTATCATCGGAATCATTTATCACCCCAATTATGCCCATTCCAATACTGATATGAACTCTTTTGGATAGCTATTGAATCCTATATCACACACATACGAATTACGGAAGATGCGGCCTATCCTTCAAGCCCTCCCCCGCCAGACTCTCCCCCTGACAATAAAAAACCCCGTTTAGTAATAGTCTCTGTTAGGAAATCCGGAAGGGTTCGCCTCCATAAGGCAAGGGAGAATAGCGACGGTTCATTTTCAGTTGGGAAAACTTGGATGCTGGATGATTTGACGCGTATTCAAATTTACGAACACATACCTGCATCGAACCCCTCGGAGCAGCAGCAGAAAATGTGGGCATCCAATCTTGGGTTCGTGGTGACCGTATCGAAGCCCTACTATTGGCAGGCCGCCTCGCCAAAGGAAAGGGACTTCTTCATTGGAAGTTTGGTGAAGATATATAAGAAGTATACTGGAGGGAAGGTACCGGAATTACTTGGTTTTGATCCTCGTGATCGAGACGTGATAACCGGCGCTGCATCTCCTGGCCAGCAAGCTGGTCCTCTCATGGGACCTCGCGATTCTCCCATGGGACCTCGTGATCCTCCCCCAGGCCGTTCAGGTGGTTCGGGGGGGCAGCAATCCATATCTCCGCAAACTCAATCCAATCTCTCGCAACCTCCATATGCAGGCGGTCGCCTTCCTGGCCGTGAAGGTCTAAGAGAGCTGGGCTGGCAGCCATCCAGGGAACAGTTCCCAAGCAACCCCCCTGGTCAGGATGAAGGACAGCGACCTCGTCCTCAATTTCCTCCGTCTAACCATCCTCAACCACGGGGCTTTCGTGGTGAGCTGCGTGGTGAGCCGCCTTTGAAACCAGTCGAACACAATATTCCCAATGATCCCTCAGCCCTATCACCACTCCACGCTGGCCCGGCGCCTCGAATGCCACCCGTTGGCGTAGCTCCTTCGCCAAATCCGCTATCAAGTTCAATGGGCAACCAACACAGAACGAAATTTAACAATGAAAATGGCATTCATCCGGTAAGAACGCCTGCGCCGAGTGGCAAAGTTTCACCCATCGAATCCAGCAAACAAGCCGCCCCAGATTCTGAACTCAATTTCGATTTGGAGGGCCCCGTTAAACATACTAAAGAGGCCGCTAGAAACTCTACCCCAGAGGAAGATGAGAGCCCTATCGTTCCTGAACCATTAGATTTGCCTAAAATACTTCCATCTCCAATCACCCCCGCTACACCTGCTGAGTCAACTGCAGCGTCCTCGACCGAAGCCGAAGCAGAAACGCATCGTCCAGGCCTTGGCCCAATGGTAAAGAAGAAGCAAACAAAAGATGTGGCCTCTTCACTTCGGAGGGCCGCTAATGCTTACGGCGCTTTTTTTCCTAGAGCCGGAGGAGCGGCAGACAGATTACTGGCAAAAGAGAAGAGCGGGTCTGAGCCAGATAATGCTATCGGTGTGATTTCGGCGCCCCTATCCAGAACTATGACAGATGAGTCCACTAAAACTACCGCTACTTCAACGGAGTCATCAATTAAAGATGTAGAACCAATCGTGACACCCAAGGAAATGGCTACCGTGCAGGAAGCACCGAGGATTCATGAAGTAGCCAAGGTTCAGGTTTCTGAGCCTGCGTTCTACAGCCCACACCAGCCATCAAACAAGAATGCTGCTCCAGCAAATGATAGCCCGGGAGTTGCTCTCTCAAAAACGGCGCCGTCGCAAGCAGAACGCCGACGTCAACGCCGTAAGGATAATACAGCACAATATTGTGCCGCTCTTTCCATTGACCCCAGTATTTTGGAAGGTAGAGGAGGATACTTCGATGATATATTAAGTGATCTCGGATGGGATGGGAAGTTGAGCGAGGACAAACGGATTGAGGACCTTGAAGCAGATGTTCGGCGAGAGATTGGACGGGTTCAGGCAAGCAGCTGGCTGGGTCACCTCGAGCTTCAGGAGGGCAAAGTGGACCAGCTCGCAAAGCTGTTTGACAAAACAATTGCCGAGTGCGATGAACTAGATGGTCTCTTGATGTTATATGCACATGAACTAAACGTAAGCCCGCATGTGTTTAATCCCCTAATTGTTTGCGTTCTGACAGTCTTTAGACCTTGGCGGACGACGTTGCCTACATCGAAGCTCAATCTCAAGGTTTGCAGGTCCAAACCGCAAACCAAAAGCTTCTGCAAAATGAACTACAAAATCTCCTTAAGACGATTTCAATTTCCTCAACTGACCTCAGCGCCCTTCGGGAAGCATCCCTCAGCAACCCGGATGGCATCCAAGAAACAGAATCTTCCCTTGCTATCTTGTACAAAGCGATGGCGACGATTGATCCTGATATTGGAATAAACAAAAAGAGGCTTGCTGACGCAGCTGGTGATCGGGGTGTCCTTGGCGTGTATGCTGATACTGAAATTGGACAGATGCGCGCAGTGAAGGAGAAAACGGTTGACTACCGTAATGAAGTCCAGCTCTTTCTACAACGTTTGAAGCAATATATGAGCCTTGCTTTTAGAATCGCGGAGCAAAAAATGATGGATTCAATTGCAAACTCCAAATCAGAGAAACTTATTTTGGGTGCCCATGACCACGCCCGGCAAGAACTCTGGATGTATAGCTCGTTGATGCTTTTTGCACGTGAAGTCAGCCCACCGGATTGGAGCGCCATTGCCACACAATATGAGCAGCAGATGAAAAAACCATTTCAGAATGAATTTAGGGACAATATACTGGCATGGAAGCGTGAGGCACGGCAACCTACCGGCGATGAGCAAGAATTATTATTCACTCACCAAGAGAAGGAACGGGATGGAGATGGCATCACAACTGCCGCTCGGAAATTGACAGTGAGGCGAGGCAAAACGGTCCGCGTTGCCGGAAACCCGCGAGCTCCAGGACCAGATAATAATGGGAAAATTGAGCCTTATGAGGTGTTTGGCGGCTCATTGGAAGACACAACGAAGCTCATTGCAGAAGAACAAAACTTCGTGGTGAAATTCTTTCACCTCAACTCACTGTCAAACATAGAGTTTCCAGATCTGGTCGCAGCTGCTCGACCAGAGGATAGAAGACCGCCAATATTCAGCGTCAATGAGTTATATGATCCGGACCGTGACATGGCTAAGAAAGTCGAGCAGATTATGGATGAAATATTTTCGCCCTGGACTAGTGATATGCAGAATTTAGCGGAGTGGGCCTCTAGAGCTGAACCTTTGTAAGTTTACTTCACTAACATGCCGAACTCATCTATTACGACTGACACGATACGTAGGCAAGGAGTTGGTGTATTATTTGCTTTAGAGAGGAAGATATCTGCTTTTGATGAAACGAACCAGGAATTCATCGTTCGCAATCTCCAGAAAATACATTCTCACTTTATGGGACTCTTCAATCGGTTTGTCGAAGAGCAAATCCGTGCAATCGAAGAGACAAAGGTCAAAGTCAAGAAACGTAAAGGGGTTATCTCGTTCATGCGAACTTTCCCTAATTTCTCAGCAACGATCGAAAACATGTTATCATTATCCACCCAAGAGACGATCGACATACGGTTCTGTGTAAATGAAGCCTACGAGAAAATAAACCGCGCCATGTGGGATAGTTTGAAATTTATCGCCAAAGAAGCGCCCGGTCAGCAAACCGTCTCATCAGGAGGTGCTCAAGACCCAGAAGACAAAGAAGCGCTTAATTATCACATTCTCTTGATTGAGAATATGAATCATTACCTCGAAGAGGTTGACTGCCGCGATAACCTTATTC